GTTGGCTATACCCAGAGATAGGCAGAAGCGTCCATCCTTAGCACTGGGCCCTTCAATAAGCTCTCGTGCCTGGCCGAGATGTCAAGAGATACTTCTCCATTTCTTAGAGTGTTGTCTTGCAACCCACGTCTCCATTTTCCTCCTAGCTTTATGCGCGGTCACTCCTAGAGCTGGCTCAGGACCAACGAGCTTGCCGGCTGATCCTGTTTTCGCCAGAGTATCCGCCGGCTCACCTTAACTGTGTCGAACTTCGTACATCCAGAACTGGCCGGTACGACCACTCCTTTGTCCCGAGGGTGTCGAGATTGTGGAACAATCTACAAGAGGAAGCTTTTCACAGTTCTACTAACCTTAGGCAGTTCAAAAGTCGTATTAACAAAATTTCCTTGGGATCATCATAGCAGCCGCGGTGTTCCGGCATTTAGGCTTCTGCCTGTGCGGCTGCTTCGATACATAAAAAAAAGTACAACACGAAAAATGATGTCACTCATTTCTACCGGTCTGTCCGCTAGTGTTATATCCGCCGACAACTGCAGAAGATTTTGATGAAGTTTCCACACATGGTTACTACTATGCCAGGGATAAAAACGCTTTGTAGTTTATGGAAATCGGTAAATGAAAGAGTTATTAGGCAAAATGTTTTGTATCTCCAGATTAAAAATATATTTATGATGTACAAAGGTCTATACAATATGTTTCATCAAATTCTAGCGGTACCGGTCTACTATGACCATTAGACATGAAGGCCATCATCGACGTACATTACAGAAAAGCTTTAACAGAGATCTGCACAGTTGTCACATAAACATCTCGCTGTCTGCAGCGACGCAGTAGATTTTTATAAAGAAAGACACGAAAAGACACGTACCAGTATAAGAAACTAACGGGAAAGTTAATTTCATATGATTTTGCGTCCGTTACGTTCATATCGATTCACCCGTATGACCGTCACAACTTTCACCGTCTGTCGGCAAAAAAAAAGGAAACGTGCTAAATCATTATCACATTTTATAGACTGGAATGAAAATTGTTGCCTGCGCGTATCATCTGGCTGTCTGACTATTGGCACGAACCGCATTCCTCGGTGAAAAGAAAAGTAACAGACCATAGTTAGAAAAATAAAAAACGGTATGTTTTAGGCCTTATTCAGAGTTAAATTTATTGATCCGAGCGACAATCAGTGATGGGCGTTTACGTGCATACATGAATTCTATGCAGACAATACGAAGGCAACGTTCAGAATGCGTATACAATGTATTCAGCGTGTATACAAAGTAAGCAATATGTATACAATATACAGGGTGCTTCCGTTTATTGTTACATAACTTTAAGATTCGATAGAACTTTTAAAATTAATGCATAAAGTCTATATAAACATGGGTCGAAAAATGCGTGGCTTCCAAAATACAGGGTGTTTAAACTTACTTTCTAAAATAGTTTTTTTTTAAATATTTCAAACAATATTTGATGTATAACAGTCAAAATTGGTATACAAGGGCTTTTACTGTACCTGTAGTGTATTAAAATGACCGAAAAATTTTCTTAGTGCAATTTTTTGCTTTTTGAATAAAAAACTGATTCTTCGCATTTTCAACATAAAAAATCTCTCTTGTGAATTTTCGTTATAGTTAGCCGTTTTTGAGATATTTCGATTTTTAAGGTTCGATGCATTTTTAATTATGTATGATAAAATAACGTTAAAAAGTCAGTATCTCGATAATTTTTAGAAGTAGGCTGAGCATGCAAATATTTTTGAAATTGAAAGCCGAATAAGGTTAAACGTCAATTAGTTGACAGTTAGTTTTGTTGTCTGTTGAAACCTGAAACGTTTTTTTGCAATTGTGAATGCACGAAATTTAGTTTCTTTTACCTGTTTTTTTGTAAGTTTTATAAAAATGCCATTTTTATTCTCCAATCAAGAGTTAGCGGATATTCATTTTGTGTATGGCTTTGTAAATGGAAACGCAGCAGAAGCAGCCAGAGAATACACACGGAGATTTCCAAACAGACGACATCCAACTCGCTCAGTATTTGTAAGACTGCATCGCCAAATAATTCAAAATGGTTTTGTAAATCTCCAAAGGGATCAAAACATAAATGTTCGTCAGCGCAGATTTACCCGTATGATTCTGGGTGAGTTTGATAGAGATCCGACCACAAGTGTTAGGAGAGTTTCTGGTGCCTTGGAAATTTCAGCAAGCCATGTTCACCGTGTTCTTAGAAATGACCATAGACGTCCTTACCATTTGCAACCTGTGCAAGGACTACAGCCACGGGACGGAGAACGAAGAATTACATTTTGTCAGTAGATTCTTGATAAAACTGATAATAATAGGGAGTTTTTAAGTAACGTTTTATGGACCGATGAGTCATGTTTCACTAGACGTGGAGTGGTATATTTTCATAATCGACATATTTGGTCGCATGAAAATCCGCATGCAGTTCAGGAAAGAAATTTTCAGCATGAATTTGGTGTGAACGTGTGGATTGGTATCTACCGTAATCGACTATTTGGACCCTACCTTTTGCCTGCAAGGTTAAATACTGCGACCTTCTTGGAATTTTTAAAGGCTGAACATGCAAATATGTGGGATGATGTTATGATAGATTTAAGAAGATTGGCCTGGTTCCAGCTTGATGGTTGTCCAGCTCATTATTCGAGAATAGTTAGAAACCGGCTGGACGAAAATTATCCAGAAAGATGGATCGGCCGTGGAGGACCAGTCGCCTGGCCTCCGGGAATGCATGTGATGAAATAAGGCCTTATTTGAATAATGCTATACCACGTTCGATCATTCGTAGATGTGAATTGTGTATTGAACAATTGGGTTTACATTTCGAGCAACTACTTTAGATTTTGTATGTTTGTCCTAACTATCCAATACCATTTTAGTTGTAAATAATTAATTTAATTTGTTAAAGATAATATTGGAAAATTAAACAAATATTCTGTTTTTTTGTGTTTATTTGGAGTTAGGAATTATTCCTGTGTTTAAAAACACCAGCTAAACGATCATCTTAATTACTTGTAATGCCCAAATCGAAAATGTAAAAAAAAATATAATTTTCTCATAAATAATTTAAAATGCATCGAACCTTAAAAATCGAAATGTCTCAAAAACGGCTAACTGTAACGAAAACTCACAACAGAGCTTTTTTATGTTGAAAAGTGCGAAGAACCAGTTTTTTTATTCAAAAAGCAAAAAATTGCACTAAGAAAAATTTTCGGTCATTTTAATACACTACAGCCGCTAGAGAGCGCCCTCTAGCGGCTACAGTAAAACTATACCCATGATTCGTTTTGTCGTACCAAAAAACCCTTGTATACCAATTTTCACTGTTATACACCAAATATTGTTCGAAATATTTAAAAAAAACTATTTTAGAAATTTAAACACCCTGTATTTCGGAAGCCACGCATTTTTCGACCCATGTTTATATAGACTTTATGCATTAATTTTAAAAGTTCTATCGAACGTTAAAGTTATGCAACAATAAACTGAAACACCCTGTATATCGTAGATTTCCTCGTACATGTGCCCTTAAAACTTGATGAATGAGAATGAGAAATATTTACAGCAGAACGGGCATAGGTAAGATATCCTGTGTCAAGGTGTGACTCACCGACTACGATGCACATTAATATGAACAGTGCCTGGATGACAAAATTGAGCAACGTTGCCAGGTGGTCAGTAGGACAGAGAAAAAATTCTATATCGCAACGATGTCAAATGAGTAGAACTATAAACTAATTATATGGGCCTATTTGACTGACTTGATCCATTTAATTTTTGTGATATACATGCTTGATTCCAGCTTTTTTATCAAATGAGTTCACTTGTGCTGAACACAGTCCTTTACGAACTGATGACGCCTACTTAATGCCATTTATTATTGTCGTATCAGTAAAGTGGACCTGATCAAATCACTGCATTCCAAGACGAAGACGAGATGTCGCAAGTATGTCTTCTTCGAATTCGTGATCTCTTTTTCTATACCTTCAAAATCTTATGTAGATTATGCGCGCTGGAGTAGAAACTGAAAATAGTCATCGTCTTCGACATGAGAACATCGGAAGCCGTCTTGCAGTATCGATCTCTTGGCGACGTTGCAAGAAGCATCAAGTTTTACTAGCAGGTATGAGTGCTGGCTTCCGCGGGAGTACACACTAATAAAATGCTTATAGAGCTTTTAGACATTAAACAACAGTGAGAAATAGACGCAAACGGAATTAAGATTACGATGTGCAGAAGTATCTCATACAGGGCTGCGTTCGCGATTTGTTACAGAGTTCTACTTTGTGCTTCTTTGTGACAATTTTTCAGTTCTATAGCGTTTAAGTAAGATTTTTTTAGTATTCTATGTGGCTATATTATTGTATAGAGATACAACTAGTCAACCAATTATTCATTTTATGTTCGCATTTAAAATTAATCTGTGTACGTTTGTTCCTGCCGGAGAAAAAATTCATTCTTATCGCCTTTTCCTGAAATTATTCTTAAAGCGTAGACCCTTTATGTCGTCAGGTGAACTTACGTATAATTTTAGACCTAGATAGAAGTATGATCATTGTGTTGTAGATTTATTTGGTCTAAGTACAAGTGTTCCTCATGCTATAAATCATAAGTATTTAGTTAAGCATGAAGCTCCCCATGTCAATATACCGTAGGTTAGATGTGGCTCCATCAAGGTATGGTATAAGGATTTTTCTTTTAACATTTAAGACGATTTAATTTTATATGAGACATATCGAACTTTTTTAAAATGTATGAAATATGAACATCTCAACGCAAGTGTGGATGAAGGAACATTCCAAACTATTTTATATCTAGTGCTCTGTTAATTTCTGATTTCTGATTATTTACGATAAAGATGTTTATGAAATTTGGTATATGTCTGCAATAAGAAGAAAAGGATGAGACCAATGCATCTTTTGTATTTTTGTATACTCCAAGTATTAGGGTCCAGGCCAGATCATTCTTGCTATACTGATATTTGACGAGAGGTCTTTGCAAAACACATTTCCTGAGAACCTAAATTTTAAGGAGGTATATCATGTTTCGCTTACCTTCTGCGCACTCGGCACTTGCACTGTAGCATACTTGGGCTCCGGTTGAGCAGACTGCTCCGCTTGATAGTACTGTGGCTGAGCTTGTACTTGTTGGTGAGCTTGTGGTTGCTGGTACTGTGCTGCCACCTGCTGATAGTACTGCTGTTGGTACTCCGAGGTAGCTGGTAATACCTTACCTTGTGGTACGATCTGAAAGGAAAGTTATAGACAGTTAAGGAAATATCAAAGGTTGAGTTTCTGTCTTTATGCAATTCTGGTACTGTTAATTATATTTGTTCTCGATATCAGTATAATGATAACACTGATCAACAGCCAAAAAATATCCTAAATAAAATCAACAAAATATTACTATTTTTAATGTGCTAAAACCGGAATGAAACTTATTTTTTCAATATTAGTTCAAGTTTTAGAGATACGGTAATTATATGTATTAGGTTCTACCATAACATGCATGATCACCAAACAAGATCACTAAATAATGTTTATCAAATTTCCACAAGAACTAACATAGGTTTAAAAAATCCGATCACAGACGCAATTAAGAAATTTAATAATTTACCTCATTGTATAAAAGATTCAAATAACTATAGAAGTTTTGTTAGAGAATTGAAAGATTGTAAAAATGTTAATGAATTTATTTGTTGAAATTATGAGCAACATTGCAGTGTACCTGTAGTTCTTAGATATTAATTATTGTCTTGTTATTCTCGGGGCCAGTGTTTGCAAACACTGATTAGGGAATTATTGTTAAAACTCGTTATACTTTTTGTATTATTGTGTTTAAATAAATTATTTCAAAAAAAAAATATGTGTTCCTGCTGTGACAGTGTTAATATACTGTAATTCACAAGAATGCACTGCTACATTTTTATATTCGGCAAGGAAAGATGATGTAATCGGCATGATTGTGTTACGTTATACATACGTGTACATTATATTGTTTTATATTAGCCATTTTTTCCTCAGTTGGCTGACAGCGTTCATGCAAGATGTCTCGAAAGTGTGTAAACAATCCAGATCAGTTTTGTTACGTGTGTGGTGATGTGACTTTTGCGTCTCAGAGACGGTCTATTACTCCACTAATAACAAAGGCATATCAGCTTTATTTCGGTTGTAAACTAGGTGATCAAGACAAACAGTGGGCACCCCACATCTGCTGTAATACATGTGCTTCAAGTCTGAGGAGCTGGTTAAATGGCAAAAAACAGTCTATGCGCTTTGCTGTCCCAATGGTTTGGAGAGAGCCTACAAATCATATTAATGATTGTTACTTTTGCATGGTACCTTGTGTTGGACAAGCCAAAGGTATGTCCAAGAAAAAAAAAATCGGTTATTAACTACCCAAACATACCATCTGTGATGAGACCTGTGCCTCACAGTGACGAAAATCCTATTCCAAAACCCCCAGAATCCTACACTTGCGAATCAGAAAACGAATCAGATCATGGCGATCGAGTGATTCGTCAGGAAGAAGATATGCTATCAACGACAAGAGATCCTCATTTTATACCGAGCACAAAATAACACAGTCAGAATTAAATGATCTTGTAAGAGATTTAGAACTTCCAAAATGTAAGGCAGAGTTACTTGGATCAAGACTGCAGCAGTGGAACTTGATAGAAGACTATGTTTCGGTATGTGTTTTTCGTAAACGTCACAAAGACTTAGAACCATTTTTCAATATGGAGAATAACTTGGTTTTCTGCAGTAACATTAACGGCTTTAAATATAAACTATTACCCAGAAGAATGGAGATTGTTTATAGACAGTTCAACATTGAGTTTAAAGGCAGTGTTATTGCATATTGGAAATATTTTACCATCTCTTCCTGTAGGGTATGCAGTTCACATGAAAGAATCATATGACAATATGAAGTACCTATTGACATGCATAAAATACGATGAGCACCAATGGCATATTTGTGGCGATTTGAAAGATGTTGCACTTTTACTTGGGCTGCAGCTAGGCTACACAAAGTTTTGCTGTTTTTTGTGTGAATGGGACAGTCGGGCAAAGGCACTTCATTACACCAGACAAAACTGGCCTGTTCGTCAATTCCTAGAGCCAGGTCAAAAAAATTTACAGCATATGCCATTAGCAGATTCGAAAAAAAAAATTATTACCACCACTGCATATCAAGTTGGGCCTAATGAAAAACTTTGTCAAGGCATTAGATAGAGATGGGTCAGCTTTTCAATACCTGCGTCAGAAATTCCCAAGACTAAGTGAGGCAAAGGTTAAAGAAGGTATTTTTGTTGGGCCACAGATTCGAAATATTTTGAAAGATACACAGTTTGAAAACACTTTAACAGGTAGTGAAAAAACTGCTTGGAATGATTTCCGTCTGGTGGTCACTAATTTCTTGGGAAATAGAAAAGCTGACAACTATAAAACCCTTGTCAAATATATGCTGTCATCGTATCAATAGATGGGCTGTAATATGTCTCTTAAGATACATTTCCTACACTCACACCTGGACTTTTTTCCTGACAATTGCGGAGCCGTAATTGATGAGCACGGCGAACGTTTTCATCAGGATATTTCAACAATGGAAAAAAGGTACCAGGGAAAGTGGAATCCTTCCATGCTTGCAGACTGCTGTTGGACTCTTGGTAGAGATGCTCCAGAAACGATCCATAAAAGAACAGCAAAAAGACAGCGCATATAGTGATTCTTATAAGTATATGAATCTTGTTACTTTTTTTAATATATCCTTAAATATAAAAAGTTTTTTTTCTAAACCGCAACTAATTTTTTTATTTCATTGTCACTTTTGGATTCAGCGCCCCAAAATTAACAAAGAAGTGCGCTTTTCCCACAAGATACAATTAAAAAACTAAAATTTGTTGTCCAGTGATAAATCTCTGTGGATAAGGCCTACTTTGGAGTACTGCGCCATGATGCCACGAAGTTTGTCCAACCTTTTGGGAATCGGTTGCAGCATAAAGTGATGAATGATAGGACTATTTTTCTTTATCTGTGTCAAAAAAGATTTCGGTTGAAGGCCCAGCCTTTCAAAAATGTCGCCCGACTATTTATGGAGATATCCGAAAAATCTGAGAAGTAATTCAAAATGAAACTGAAGAAATAGGAACCAGATAGTAGAAAGGTAAGAACACTGAAGAATACAATTAAATCTAGGGATACTTAAGATTCGGATATACGAGACTATTATTAAGCCAACAGTGCTTTGTGGATACGAAATGTGGATCATGAAATAAAAAATAAAGAAACTTTAAGTAGATGAGATTGAAGAAAATATATTGGTGGTGTGAAAGAAAATGGATTTTGAAGAAGAAGAACGGATGAAGAACTAATAGAAGTATATAAAGAACCGGACCTTTCGACAGTAGCGCAAATGTAGCGGATAAGATGGCTTTCTCATGTTTGGAGGATGCCTGTACGCGAAGTACAAACCTAGTTCTAGGACGTTTGGGATGCAAGAGAAGGAAAGCAAGACCAAGACGTTTGTGGATAGGTGCTGTCTAAGAAGAGCAGGATAGTTTGAACACACAGCGTTGGAAGGAAAAACCACTGGATATAGGATTCTGGACGAACATAATGGAAGCCATGGCCAGATGCGGCTTCTAGAGGTATTGTAAAGGAGTCAATTGTTGTATAGTTCCATGTGAGGGACTGATTGGCTATTTTGTTGAGTTATACAGTATCATTCAAAGGTTATATAGGAAAACCCAATGTCAGTCTTCTGAGAATCTATACCACGTTATCAAGGTCCATGACACAATAGAAACACGTCACATTATTTTTCGTATTCTGAGGGATTCATTACTTCTGTAACACTCAGTAGGGTTATCCCAATAATGAGAACACCCTTCCACACTAGTCCTATTCGGGTTTCGTCATTTCCCATGTCAATTGGCGAGTACATGTTGCAATCGCGCAAAATTTCGATAATGCTGTTATACGTATTTCGAATGTTACATATGTATTAGGTATACAACTCTACTCCGTACGTTTTTCTGTAGATTGCGTGAGCGATAGGTAGACTTCGCATACATACACCTTAAATGGCTTGCAATACTCCTTAATAACTTGTGGACATAACTTAATGATACCAGTAGTTGATTTGTGTTTACATAATATAGGTATTCCAGATTAAGAATGTTATTTAGCGAGATGAACTAGTTTTTTTTATGAGAATAAGTGTCGAAGCTCGCCAAATTCTCGTAGGAGCCTATGGTGAGGTTACTATAAGTGAACGATTACGTCGTGCGTGGTTCCAGGCGAATATTCTGAAACAATCACAGATCTTCATCGAACGCAATGAAAGCGTTTGAGCTGAGCTTTGGAAGGAAAAGGCCGCAATAATGGTTGGGCTAATACTGCCCACTTTGACAAAACGTACTTGGAAACGTTGAAATGGCCCGGCGTAATCATCAGCCTGATTTCGATTGATGGTTCACGGCCTGGCGGACTAGCGCTTCCGGTCTCAAGAACAGAAGAAACTGGATCGATTCGTGTATCACTTCAAAAGCTGACCAGTTCTTTCAAATCGGGATACGGTTGCTGCAGGCAAGATGAAAGAAGGAAGTGGCATATGATGGACAATACTCTGGTACACAAATATATGAGTTCTTCACAATAAAGCTTTAAATGTTAAAAAAGGCGACTGCAGAATTGTAGGTAGGTACATAACTATACAACTAGGTCTTCTAAGCTTTGGCTCCTCTACAACTCTGAAACTACCGTTTGGTTACCACTATGCAAGCATTTTTTTATCGATCCAGTGGCGGCGCAGTTAAAGGCTAAGAACGGGAACAATATAAATCTCTTACACTGATCTTGACGCTTAAGACTACTGCCCATTTTTAGAATTATTTAACGGTGAAGCATTGGAGGTGGGGGTTACAGGGGATAGGGAAGGGTGGTCCAGTTTTTGGCGTTAATATATTTTACGCAGGTTTTTGCTGTAAGGGAGATGCGTGTAATGTAAATCCCTCGAGGTAAAATGATTCCCCATCATATTCGAGTAACTACCAGCGAAAATTCATGACTTCTGGAATGCTAAGATTTATTGTAATGTTGTTTCATTGATAGATGTAATTAACATTCAGCTACATTCAAGTAATTTTTGAATACCACACATTGTATTTGAATGTTATATTTTGATCGAACCTTGAAATTTTGTATGTGAGGTGAAATGATCCCTTTTTGTACCTATAAAACGATAACTAGAACCCCAGTAGTATTTTTTATGTCGCGAGTTTATCCACGTAAAGCTAGTCTGAAGAACAGGTGTTGAAGGCTTTAAATGCAGTCAAAGATGGTATGCCTTATGAAACGGCGAGAGAGCGACGATGAAAAATATTTAATTTGCGATGTTTGTGTTTTTTATCGTTTCTGAAATGGGAAAAAATTGAGGCCATAGTCTTTATATGTTCCGCGTCACAACAAACATTTTTTCGATTAGAAGATTGGTTTATTTCTGTAGTCAATTAATTAAATTTGTTAATGCTACAAACCTCAAAAAAGTATGAGTCATTTTCTTGTTTTTTTTTCTTTAGTTTGGAAGAGGATCTTATTTGCTTAGTTGTACTGACAAAAAGGTAAATACCTACGTATGTTTAGTAGAATTCAAGAATTTTTTACATATCGATTTATTTTGCCATGAGCAAGTGATAAAATGGTCAGGTTTTGGTGGTGACTGCGTGAATTATTTGGTGATAAAGCTAAAGATAAACATCTGTAGGTGTTCTCCTTTTTTTGTCTCTGAGTATGTAATTTGTCAATTTTACAAACCTTAAAACCTCTGTTACAATTATTTAAATTTTAAATTTGTTGATTCACTATTACCAAGCTAAAAATAAATTACCTTCGATGTAATTAGATTTGAAATGTTATGTATAACATACATGTTTTTGTTGCTTTAAGTAATACATTTTTTTTAAATAAAGATTTGGTGCTTCATTTTGACAATATAAAATATCGTAGGGCTCAATTTATACGTATACGTGTATAAAACCGTCCTATATATATATATATATAACGTATATATATATATATATATCATGAAAAATAAGTAAATTTACTATTCGTAACAATTTAAATGTTGTGTTTTTGTCTTAAACTTGAAGCGCAGTAGAGTTTTTCTCTTAGTAGAGCAGCTAGATCGCAAAGTTGTCGAATTGGTGGGAACATGGGATATACTTGACGCATTCTTTAATACCGGGTTTGAGATGGAGCCACTGCCGTTGCGACTATCGCTGCCCACTGTCCTGCCGTAAATAATTCCACGGCAGCTTTTGGAGCAAGTGACTGTTTACGAGGGTGGTCCCAGAAGTTACCGACCCAACGCAGAAAATACAAAATTTTTGTAAAAAATGTATTTATTTTTCAACATAATCTCCTTTGAGCTCTATACACTTTTTCCAGCGATGTTCAGTAAGTTCGATAGCCTTTTTATAATAAGTACTGTCTTGCTCGTCAAAATAGCCATTAACTGCCGACATCACTTCTTCATCGTTGGACAATCTTTGAGCCATTTTTTCAAGTTTGGAAACAGAAAATAATCCGAAGGGGCTAAATCTGGTGAATACGGTGCATGAGGTAGCGATTCAAAATTTAATTCGTTAATTTTGGCCATTGTAATAACAGATTTGTGAGCTGGTGCATTGTCTTGATGAAACAACACTTTGTTTTAACCAAATGCGGCCGTTTTTGCTTGACTTCATCGCTCAAACGTTGTAATAAGTTTGCATAATACTCGCCGTTGATAGTTTTACCTTTTTCAAGATAGTCAATGAAAATTATCCCACGCGCATGTCAAAAAACCGACGCCATAACCTTGCCTGCAGATGAAACGATCTTCGCCTTCTTTGGAGCCGGTTGTCCCTTTTGAGTCCATTGTATTGTCTCGGGTGTGAAGTGATGGATCCATGTTTCATCCATGGTTATGAAACGGCGCAAAAATTCAGATTTTTTGCTGTGAAACTTCGCTAAACACTCAATTGAAACATCTTCACGACACTGTTTTTTCTCGATTGTGAGCAATCGCGGCACCCATCTTGCACACAGGTTTCTCATGTCCAAATTTTCAGATAATATGCGATGAACTGCAACTTTTTGAAATGCCTACTATGTCTGTTAGCTCGCGCACTTTCAATCGACCATCGTTCAGTACCGCTTTGTGAATTTTCTTTACCATTTCTGGAGTCGTCACCTCATTTGGTCGACCACTGCGATGCTCGTCTTGGCAGCTCATACAGCCTCGCTTAAACTCTGCTACCCAATATTTTACTGTTGTAAACGAAGGAGCAGACTCACCCAGAGTAGAATCCGGTTCAGCTTTTATATTGGTTGGGTTGCGGCCTTTGAAATAAAAGTATTGTACCACATAACGGCGACCAATTTTCTCCACTTTCACAAATTCACTGAAAACGTTCAGTATTGATGGCTGCCAAACAAATACTGAACAACGTGGCGTCTTCAAACTTGACACATATGCTTTATACGTTGCATACTTTCTAATACAATGATATTTTTCAAACAAGTATCGCTATCCCTGGGTCATGCCGGGTACTTCTGGGACCACCCTCGTACATGCAGCCACCCTACTAACCGCACTATTCTCCAGCAATAATGGAGGACGTAGAAATTGTCGCGACGATAGCGCTGTGTTTTGAGTTTGCAAAACTATAATAATGTTTTACAAATGAAAGTGGCAGAGAAAAAAACGACATCAAAAGAGGCAATGGTGGATGACCGCGATTCATTGTAACAGAGGTTTTTTATTTCGTTATAACCTTGAGAATTGACTTAAAAGATGTTTCTTTTACGGAGCAGGTATGCAGAACTTCTTCAACGAATTGACCTGTGAGGACTCTGGCGACTTTTTTAACTTTTGCAGGATGTCACGCATAGATTTTAAATTTATACTTGAAAAAATTGAGCCTATGGTAAAAACACAGACACAGCTCCAATACCACCAAAAGTGGCCATAACATTACGATATTTGACCACTGGCGACAGTTTCAAAAGTTTGCATTATTCATTCAAAGCTTCTTTTGCCAGAAAAGGAATAAATTAGGTTGAGATAAGCTGCGTCCTCGTGGTAAGTACAGGACTGACGGCTGGTACAGGGGGCAGCATGAAACCGCAAACGAAAGGAGCATGCGGCAGCGCTGCCCACTTCCCGGCTCGATTACCTGCTCACTGCCGTGGAAGTGGGCTGCATGTAAATACGGTATAACACTCAATCAGTTTTGGTAGTAAGAAACGCTTCCTAGCTCTGAATAAACTTGACCTAATCTGATTCCAGCATGCCTCATATGCGACCTTGAAACCGAATCATACTGTTCTTACCGTGTACTGCTGTTCTCTCGCAGCAGATGCCTGAGGTTGGACGTAGATGTATTCTTGCTGCGCACCTGACGATGGCTTTTGTGAGTACTGCTTGGTGTACAGAGGCTGATGGTTAGAGTCTGAAAGGCCGCGCTTCAACTTCTGGACAGAGTCTTCGGCTTTCGTTGTTAACGCCGCCGATGTCAATAGTATTAACTATAAGAGATATAACAGATTAGTTTGAGATTGAAATGGTAATTTAGCAAGAATTGATTGGATATCTGTGCCATGATCTAACTACAAGATGTCCTATGAAATGCGGGTCACGCATTTTGGAATGCGATTAAAAAAACAAGCGGTGCGCATTATGAGCAGATGGCACATCAGCAGATCATACAAATAGTTCATATGAACATGTTATACAGTATTGGTCGAATAGCATTGTGGCCAGATGATATTGCTATTCTAATCCATTTTGTACAATTAACACTTTCACATTTCACCTAGTTTTACAGTAGTTTCAAGATAGAACATATGAAATTTTCTGTTAGAAAGTCTTAAAATCGTATCTTACGGCTTATTCTTAGTGGGTGACAGTTTTGAACTGTTTTATGCTGCGGACGAGACCAGCTCAATACGTAGCTAGGCGTCATCATTTCGTTTATTTGTTTGCTTAAATGGATTTGACAGCCTCTAATAGTTAGAAGCCTCTTGACTGTTTGAACTGTATATGTTCAGATCAAATATCCTCCAAGAGTAATTCAAAATCATAGTAAATTTACCATCCAAGATTGAGTTTCACAGTTACTTACTTTTGTGAACTTATTTCCAAAGAAATGTAACGTTTTAGCTTCAACAGATTGTTAGTGAGGGGAAAAGAAGACTACTCGTATCTGTAATTTCTGCTCCGTAAATACGTAAAAGAAACAACTAGCAAGGGACGTGCTTAATCAGTAGATTTCAGATAGACGTTTTTCCAATGGATCTAATATCCTCTCCCTGTTAAATCATCATTATCTAGGAGTTCGTTTTATTTTGTTCTCCTCGCAAACCATATAACCATACAAAGTATACAATTAAACTCTCAACAATATACTCTAAAATCAATGACAGAGCTATAAAGTATATATGTTAATTTTAATTAATAGTACCACGAAGAACCTTGGAAATTATTGTAAATCTGATTTTCAAATCATAGCTGTAGCACCATTGGCATCTGGGATTGTGTTTAAGAAGCTGCTACATCGTCGAGGTTATGTTTCCATCAACATAATACTATTATCAACGGGTTCAATACGACCCTCCAATAATATAGAAAAAAGATTAGCATTTATTCAGTTATTTATCCAATGAGTTAATGCCCACTATAGGAAGATTACTTCTTTAGACATTTGAGGTTTTATAATACGAGTATGTCACGCATGTGCATTATGTTACATCATTAGAGCCAAAGGGGATTGTTCACCTATGAAATCTTGGCTTGGATCATGATATTTTGAAACAAATCACTATCTGATAATTTCACGACCTACTTTGGGAATTTTGAAACTACTAAGATCTGACAATGTCACTGTATGACCTATTACACATTTTCAAATTCAGAATTAAGAGTCAAAAGACATATCCTACTGTACCGTTTATTTTGAAGGCTCATCTCAAATACAGTAAAAAAAATTAAAACTTTTTTTGAAAAATTCATCTTTTTTTCATTTTCTACGGAAACACTCGAAATTGGGAAACTGTGTCAATGCCGTTTCTTCAGATACCTAAATATGCAACTTTGCCCTTATTTAAACGACCTCGCATCACTTACCGTTTCAGAAATCCCAAAGGTGAGAATCGAGTTTGAAACACCCAGTATATACAATATTTATGGGACAAAAATGGTATTCTTAAAAATCGGTGCTGTGATGGTTGAGTCATCAGTAAGAAGAAAAAGTACTGAAAGGTATCTGTGTTCGTTCAGACTTGACTACTATTTTTGGGAGTAGTTGGAAAAATATTTTTGTCAATTTCCCCCTTATGTTAGTTTGGCCAATGAATCATCTATTTAAAATTCTTCTTTAATGTACACGTTACGTTCGGATTGTAACCTTCTTCAGTACACGACACTATTTTATATATTCTTTGAAGCGTTCTTAACGGGGCTCCTACAATCACGAGCACCATCTGCTGAGGTAACGGGGGGGGTGAAAAGGAAACGAGGGTGGGCTGGCTTTAGACGGTCGTGGGCGCTACTTTAAAATAGGAAAGGATGACTGCGGGTGAGTACCGAGGTAAATTTTCATAATAACTGACAACAGAGTCGGATTTCGATTAGCGATCTAGCCTGTAAATCGTTTCCTCTTTTTGTGCTCAGCAAGTGATCATTTAGTATTGTTCTACCCTTGTTACTGTTCGTCGATATTGTGTTGTTGAATTGTTGTACTGTACTCTTGTTGGTGTAACTGTTCTTGAGTGCCTTTTCTTATCAAGATTGATAATGGACAATAAAGGGTCATATGCAACCATTTTAATTACGAATGCAGTTAGTTTAATTCATGATGAGGACAACGATAGTGTGGAGCAGTTCAAGTCTATAACCGCAAAATATATTGGGGTAAACGAATAAATTATCACAAAAAGAGGTCATACCATGGAAGATGTGCTGCAGCTAGAGTAAGCCACAATACTCGGCCTGTCTATGTGGTCCAAATGCTTTGCGTTCTAAACTTAGTCCAACCTTGCTTATCGCTGGGATTGAACAAAGACTCAAACGCAAGAATCTTGAAACGAAAAAAAGCTGATATAACGATAACTAACAATTAGGATAGCAATTCCAAAGAAAATATATAGTTTTATGGCGAATTCTGTCAAAAGCCTGACATGAACGACATTGATTTGGAGGTTGCTAAGCAAGAATGTTTAGCTAAACTTAAAAGAAGTGACGACGAGATTTTGTAGATCGAACAAGTCACCAAATCACAGGACTGTACTTTCTGATGCCTTCATCGGAGGATAAGGTTGACAGTTTATAGAAAAAGGCAGACAACAAGCTGTAAGTTCTAGTAAACTCCATCATATACCCAACAGAGTTTTCTAGTAAGGCAATAAAAAAACCTATACAAAAATCATTGGACACGGCAGTTCAATCTTGTGGTTTGTTTATTGATATCACACATCCATTTCTGACGGCATCGCCTCCATCTACCTATTACAGAAGACAAGAAATATACTTAATTAAAGTATAAGCTTTGCAATGACTACCTAACAGTTTCCTCTTATTTTGACGGCATAAGATATTTTTATGATCCTTCGTTCAATTGTTACCATGTACCACAAGACCCTTGTAAACGTAATTGTGTTTATTGATGCGAATAAACAAATTTGAATTTGAGTTCTTGAATTTTTTTAGGAGGGATATCAAATTATTTGAATACATTGTTTCTTAGCCGGAACGCACCGTCGCGTCGCAAGGAATGGCAGGTCGAGACAGTAGACAAATTTCGCGCAAAAACCGATTTGCACTTCACAGCTTACGTTTAATTTTTTATTATTCAATATTATTTCCAAATTGCAGCGTGCTAAAAGCAAAGTCCACAGGGTGCTAGCGGTCCACTTTTTCGATTTTATCCACTAGGATCTTTTTAAAATAGCAAGAAGTTGCGCACAAATGATGAGCATTTCAACCCACTATAATTCTTGCGCAAAGACAAAATTTTGTTAAAGCTCTGATAGCACCCTAGGCAATTATGTCCTGCTTATATCCAGAAGAACCTCACAAACTGCAAAACACAAATTGAGGGTAACGGCGAAATGGGTACATTTCACGGGTCGTGAGATTCAAATGAAAATGCAGGTATAAAAACTACCAAGTTATCATTCTCAGAAAAATATTTTCTTGACATATCGATAATCTTAAAGTTCCACGCTAAATTCCCCTATACTTGACTGGAGTGATATCCGAATTCATTCTTCCCTACTGTCGGCAGTTGCAGTTCTGTTGATTGTTGGTGTCAAACCTATAGAGCAGCTACTGTTTTTTTCAAAACGTGAGCACATTATTCGTCGAATTTTCGTTACTTAAATTTCCTGTAATCACTGGGATGAGAAGCTTCTTAATAATAGAACGTGCTTCACTGATACCAAAGATGCAACATTTAGAATCACCTTCCTCCAACCCCCACTTTTTGAGCAGTAAATTTTTTTTGTTAATGATTCGGAACCCCTGAAACGTCAAAAACGGAGTTTCAGCAATTGTTGGTTTTTCTTTTTTGCCTATATCACCGTTGCAACTGGGCTAAAACTACAAAGCTTTGGCATACTAGTAACCTCGTGTGGAAATTTCAAAAAAATCCGAGCGGTAATTTCAAAGTTGATGATGAGTGATATAGTTTTTCGTGCTGTAGTTGTCATATGACTTAAAAAAACATAACTCATTTTAGAGATTAGGGAAGTAAAGCGGCTTTAAAATCGAGTAGTATCATCGATCGCGATTATGAGTACCTATTTGCAAAACGACTCATCTACGCGATATTATATGAAATAGGGCCACCAAATCATCCTTTCTTACTCCGCGCCGCAACGCTTGGGTTGGCAGCACGAAACAGTAGACAAAATTCGTCCATAATACGATTTGTAGAGGTTTGCGCGCTTCGAAACTGACGCTTTATTTTCTGGTATTTTTGAATGAAATATTCACAGTGTGCTGAAAACCGAACCCTACGGGGCGCTATCAAGCCACTTTTTCATTTTTTTCACTAGGTTCTTCATAAAAAAATCGCGAAGTTGAACAGAAAAGGTTCCCACTTCAACCCATCATAAAATTTGTGCAAAAACAAAATTTCAAATAGTGCTCCTATAGGACCCTTGAAATATTGAAAAAATGGAGTGTCAGTTCCGAAGCAGCTAAACCCTTGAAAATGGCTTGAAACTCATTGCGTAGGAGCCGCCTTAACTGATACCTGCTACGCCAATGGACTCAATTCTACACCCCCTAACATCTTTGACGTTCTCGTAAATAATTGAGCAGGATTCTCATTACGTCAGTCAAAAACGTACATCAAAAAGATATTTCGCACTTTTGAAAAGCTTTTATGTTTGATAAGGGGCCTGGGTGCTACAAACACCATAAAGAACCGGGAAAGAAAAACATTATTGTATTTCACAAAAGCAACGGCATATATTGTGTTACCTAAGACTTGGTGCACATTAGGTCACCCTTTGAAGCAACATTTTTTAAAAATATAAAAGAATCTACTGCAGTAACTGAAAACAAAACGTTTCTTGTTTGGTAAGAATGTATCGGCACTTGGTTTGGAGGACGGGATATGTGTTGCACTATCAAAACTTTTAGTAGTTGGATACAGTCGGGGTTTATGAGATATTGTCTTTAAAATACTTTTTTGGGTTATTTCTAATTTGAATATATGAGTTGTGTTTGCTGCTCCCCATGCTATTATACCATAATTTATGTGAGATTCTGCCAATGCACGATGTAGTATTTTTAATTGACAATACTCTAATATGTATTTAATTCTTCTTATTCGATATAGAACGAATTGCAACTTTTTGGCGACATACGTTATATGCATATCTCACCTGAGGTGTGCATCTATGTAAATTCCTGAATATTTTAAACCATTTACTTTATTTATTCTACGTTTGTTATCCCCAGTGTTTTTTGTTTGTAGAAGATGGTAAGACGGCACTTTGTCGGCATAAGATGTGAATGGGATAAAATTAGCTTTTTTCAAAATGTATTGTTAATAACTTATTACCAAACCAGTCCTTGATTTTACAGAGATCACTTTGTGCTACGTTTCTTAGATCTGTACAGTTTTCATTTGTATATATCACCACAGTATCATCAGCGTAGCTCACGATGTCTGCTTCAATTTTTTTTTGAACAAGTCTGCCAAATATATGTTAAAGAGTAAAGGCCCTAAGATGCTTCCCTGGGCAACCCCGTACTCGACCGTTGCTATTTTACTGTAAGTATTCCCAATTTTTACCGTATGAGTTCTACCAGAGATATAAGATTCCAGTAGGTTATATGATGTGCGTCTAAATCCTCTGTTTTGAAGGGTATCTACAGTATATTCAGATAAGAGATAGACCGGATGTAAACAAAAGGTTCGGGTGATTTTCACGCTAACGCCGCCGTCTCGACGTAGAACAGGAGCCCTCATTGGTCAATTCGCAATTAAATGCCTATGCCGAGCGGCAGAGCAGTCGTATCAAGGCAGAGTCACATTCAGGTTCAGACGTGTTACGTATGTCGTGTGCATCATTGCAATTTGATATTTCTTTGGACGTTTTCGTTTGTTATCTTGTTAAGTTGTTGAGTTTGTCGTTGTTATTGTTATACCTTGTTATTGATTGCTATTGTTATCAACTGCTTGCGCAAAATGCCCAGTAATACAGATACTGCCGATGAAGTTGTAAACTCCTGTAGTCCACCTAGGAAACGCTCTAAAAAAAGACACCTGAGTGCAGAAATAAAAGAGGTCATTTTGAATATATATAAGATCGAGCGCGAGGAGAACGAGGCATCAACCATCAAAGAAATTGTTGTGAAGGTTTCTCACAAAGTTGGGGTGTGTCGCGCATCAGTGTTTAATGTGTTAAGACAATACATAAAAAATCACACCTTTTCTGAGCCAAAAAAACATCGCAAAAGTATTGTTAAACCATTGGATGAAGCTGATAAGCATGCGATTAGAAAAGTGCATGAATTCTTCTTTAGGAATGAAATACCTACTATAGATAAAGTACTGCAGGAGGTAAATGGAGATACAACGTTGCCAAATTTCAAACGATCAACTTTCCATGCGTTACTGAAGCATTTAAATTTCAAATGGAAAAAACGGGGTCGTGATAGTTTACTACTGGATAGAGAAGAAATTGTGCTATGGAGGAGGGATTATTTAACAAAAATTGGTAAATATAGAAATCAAAACCGGAAGATTTAATACCTTGATGAAACGTGGGTAAACGCAGGACACACTACAAGTAAAGTATGGGTTGATGATTCTGTAACTTCATCCAGGAGGGCCTTTCTAGATGGACTGTCCACCGGATTAAAATATCCAGCAGGTAAATACCAGTAATAGACAACAATCGGATGTTTTTCAAACCTTGGGAACAAGGTTCTAAACATTAATTCCAGGGGGCAGATAAAACATATTACAAGTAACAAAACTTTTATAACTTTCGATAAAATGCGTGGATGTTTTATTGTCATTTTCATTTGTTAGAACTTTTTTAAGCCATGTTTTTATGTGTTTTCGATATTTCAATAATTTTTTAATATAATCTTAAAATATGTCGAATATTATAAACTTAAAAAAAGTTACTAAGTTTTATATTGTGTACCGTTCTTAATATTTCTAATCATTTTAATTCATACTTTAAGCTTTATAAAGTTATAATCTGTTAATATTAATATTTGCGCGTATTTCAGGTTCCTGATCATTCATTTTTTAAAGGTTTATAACTTTAAATTAAATTGTGAAGCGCTGAGTAATCATACGACGTTCAATATTCTTTCTTTCAATATGACTAAATAATCCCAATTATAGCAGTCTGATACTCATGTCTCAATGTTTTTTCGCTGAATGTGATGAAAACATTTGAAAAAGGTTCGCTTATTGAAATAAATCTACACCAGTTAGTACTTCGATTTCCAGGTAAAGGGAAAAGGCTCATTATCTGCCATATTGGCAGTGAGGATGGATTTGTTGTTGACGGTCTGTGGTGCTTTGAGTCTAAG